ATAACGAAGCGAGACGCGACGACCACACGCGCTGTCGATCGATCGGGGTTGTCCGACGACGCCCTATAGCGAGAAATCACCGCGACGAAATACGGCCAGGTCTAGCTTTTGTGCCCACGCGCCTCGCGGACTTTAAAATATTAAATATTATAAATAAAGCACGGCGTCGGGATATTCTATTATTATCGTACGCTAAGTGTACAATATTGAATATAATAATATCGACGATCATTACAGCGGTTCTCATCATTACCCCACGCATCTGCAGGGGCCGTGGTGAGTTTCCACGGACTTTTCCGCCGCACACAGCGATGTAGGGTACTATAAAGTTATTAAAATAATAACCATATAATATTATACCATAGAGATGCGTGTAGCGCGTTCGCCGATGATTTATTGTGAAAGACTATGTACGCATGCAGACGCGTCGTGAATCGGCCAAGTTTAGGCAGAGCAAGCTACATATTTTATGCATCCGCAGAGAGAATTACTCAGATATGTTGTTGTGCAGTAAGGGACCGTATTAAACTCGCATGCAATACTTGGATTGACGTGATAAATACATAAAAAAAAAAAATAATTTTGCATACAGAGATATTATCATAGATTCTTTAAAAAAAAAAACATGATGGTTTATTATGGATTTATTTTTTTGTAATATGTATTCAACGGTTTATTTTTATAGGTAGAGTAAGTATCTACATTGTATAAATACTTGGTATTATTTTGGACTTGTAGAAGACATTCCATCAGATTTCCAAGGAAATAAAAACAATTTAATAATGTCCTTACAGCTTATACCACCGGGTTTATATATTATTATAGCGCTACACGATATTTCAAAATTTAACGAATTGATCAGAAATTGTGATAAGTCCCGCTGGTATCCTGAGTGCAGAAAATGGAATTCGAGAAACAGGAATAAATTGTTACAATTTCCAATTTTCTAGTTACAATAATTACCTGTCGGCTGTCATTCTAATTTCCTGATACGATACATAGGACGCCAGGACCACGTTTTATCGGCTAGTATTTTACGCGTAAATCGAGATATTTTCACATGCTATTATAATGAGTTAATTAAGAATAAGTATATAATAGTGAGTTATTCGCGCAGACGTTCTATAACAAAATTATTATCCGTAAGCATGTAAGCCATTTTTCCTAGTACCTATACGGGGGAGTATAATATTAAATGTAATCACTTCGATTTCCACAAAAGGCACCGCTCGTCACGGTAAGCCCGTTTTTCATATGGACGCCCGGCACACTCTCGTTTACCTTTACCTAATATATTGAAGTATATTATCATATACTCACGCAAGGCGGGCCTTTGCGAACAGTCGATGTTCAGTGGTAGGTCGCACTTCTCTTGTTGCGAACTGTAATCGTTGAACACCATGCCGTCCGGACACAGTTTCTCGGTGATCTTGTTGTCCGAGCACGCGTAGTACTTGTCGCATTGGCTGGCGTCCGCGAAGAAACCGTTGGGCTCCGGGCACTCGCTCTCCTGCTGGTCGGCCGCTTCCTCGTCCTCAACGGCGGTCGGCCGCTGACGGGGCGCCGCCGCGGTCGTGGTAGGCGGCCGTTTCCTGCCGCCGCCGGTGGACTGGCCGCTCAACAGAGCGACTGCGGAAACGATTCGTTTGTTATTATCATTATCATTATTATTATCATTATTATTATTATTATTATCGTCATGGGACGTCCGCACACACTATGATCTAGCATTTGTGATTCATCATATTATACACGCTCGCGTGGGAGATTTGTGTACACACATAATAGCGGCATATAATATATAGGTATACCTAGGTAATAGAACCGCGCGACGTGGATAATATATTGTGTTACGAAAAAGCTTTTAGGCGTTTGTTTTGTAGGTGTTGTAATGGGTGCTTATCTGTAACCATCACGCGTGTATATATATATATTAATAGATGTGAGTATTACCAGGTTATAGGTACGTTATTGTCACGTGGGAAAAAGCACACAAAACCTTATTATATTATGTACGTTCACAGCAGCGGGGGACTACGTCTCGTGCTATTCGTAGAAAGAGGTCGAGAACAAAAGGGATGAAAAGGGACGTCGAGTATATAACTGTTTATATATATAAATTATATAATTTTCTCATAATACTAACGAAAAGGGAAAATGTTGGTTCTTTCGTCTAAGCCTCTTACGTATACACGACATTAATTATAACGTGTACACTGTACACACGTATATATGTGGCAGGTACATATTATAACAGGCGACCTTACGCCACCGCAAATGTCCGAAAATACGCCCACCTGCTTGGCGTTTCTCTGTTCTGAAAAACCGTCTGCCTCTGGTTTGTCATTAGACCTTTCTAGTGGATTACCTACTATTTCTCCAGGACGGAATACTATTGTATTATACCTATGCTAACTAAAAAACGCGAAAGGTGGGAGGGAGGGTTCGCGTCGAAGAGACGTATTTTTAATCGCTAGGCCATCCGGCGCAGACCGCAAGGAATTCACGGCGATCTCCCGAATTCCTCAGCCACGTCGTGTATTAATACTTGGACGCCGTCCAGCGAGCCTGTGGTAGAAGAGCAAAAAGTTTAACGGCCTCATCGCTGATATCATGTTATTTTTGAGCTGAAAGGCGAAAACGCACGCTCGACGTCGTTATATACGCATGAAAACATCATAAAATGGACTCGAGTAAACTCAAGCGTCGCACAATTAAAAATGCCGACGATGAATAACGTTAAATTCGATAATCGAATAAGTTTTCTTTATTGACCTGCCAGCAAAGAAAAGAAGAAAACACTAAGATTAATGTAACCCTCGAACAGTGGAATTACCAAAGGTCCAGCTGACACAAATCGAATATTATAATGGGTAGAGCAATAAATTGGGTGTAAATGCATTAGACATAAAATGTTGCTACCTATTGTAGCAAAGTTTAATAAAAATGGGTAAACAATTTTTTTCATTTTTATAAAAACATACTCTACCCCCTCCTCACCTATTGGAGAATATTGAATCTCAACATTCTACTTCGGCAATAGGGGAAAATCCTAAATTATTAGAACCTATACTACCCACACTACTTTTATTGTTTGACATTTTTTTTTTGCACTTATCTTTGTCGATTTATTTTGAACGTATTTCTTTAGGGCTAAATCCAAGGTCAGGTCGTACTGTTGTAAATCGTTGCCGGGTACCAGTCACGAATTCAAGCGCGTCCGTTCACGAGTTCGAGTGAATGCCGTTTGTACGTATAATAATTTAATATTATATTATGTTATATGGGTATTGCCGATTGAGATGAGAGGGAGAGGGATACCGCTTTTTTTATTATTCGATAATTTTTTAATAAATATATATATATTTGTAAATTATTATGTAAAAAAAAAAGTATTGAGACGACAGTAATCCCGAAAATAATAAAATCAGTAGCGTTTTATAATATACTACTGCCTTACCGTCAGTACCTTATATCATCTTTTTATTAAACATCATAATGTACGCTTATGTGTGTGTGCGAATGAAAAAGATTTTTCAGCAAATATTATACCTACCTATTTTCACCCTTGCAGGTAGTACCTATACATACGTCATAATATAATGCGTAAAAAATTAAATGGCAATATTAATATTGACGAAACACTACACCGAAAAAGCTGAAAAATATACATATAAAAAGAAGGAAAATGTATGTAGTGATATACCTAAAAATATTATGCTATATTTTATATGATATGTTTAATCGATTTAGGGTTTCAAATAACGCGGCTACCTGCATATCATATTCAAATATAATATAATATATTATGTGTGTGCATACACCGAAGGTAGGTAAGTTATATTATGAAAACAAAACAAACAGCCTACATATACATTAATATTATACTATTAATATAAACGGACATGCGTCTAGAAATCGAATGTATACCTCTACCTACGATACCTATTATTCACTACATACTTTCCTTTTATTTGTAATACATTTTTTTAACAAAAATAACATTTTCTCATTCAAGAATAATAATATATAAATAGGTAAATACGTGTTCGGTGCACAATATAATAGTGACATGATGCATAGAGGTATATCGTGCGTTTAAATAAGATCAAAACAAGCGGATTTATAGGTATAATAGGTAGGTATATAGTATATAATAGTATTAATAGTATGTATGACTTAATTGATTCATTACGCTACTTACTGTGGCACAAAATAATGGCGACGAGTCTTACGTCCATGTTGTACGTGCGGTTTGTAGACCTTTCGATCGCGAATGATTGTGAACGACGCAGGCACGGACACGAGAAAAAAATAATAATAATAGTAATAGTAATAGTAGTAGTGATAATAATAATAATAATAATAATAATAATAATAATAATAATAATAATAATAAAATAACCGGTGTATTATTATAATGTATTCACCTTCGTTTCGAGAAAACCACTTCTCAGTTCTCCCGCGTACACTACAACCACGCCGACCATTAATAACGGCTTTGGGCGATACAAACGTGATTTTATTATATACATATGCACGTCGCCGGATGCTAATACAATTTTATTCATAACGCCACAACGCTTTTTTTTATTTAAGCGGCGCCGCCGACATCGGTTTCGATAATAATAATAATAATAATATTGTTGCGTCGTATGGCTGTTGTATACCATATAATATTAATATACCTACCTATATAATATAATATAAATATATTATATTATTATTATTGTGGTACTCGGACGTCTGAATGAATTTTCTTGTAATACGTCTCATATACAACCATATACAACCATATTCGTCGTTTCTTTTGCGCAAGACGAATTTCAAAATTCGAAACCAGCGAGACAAAGAATGTATAATAATATTATATATAATTGCATTGTCGTATAGGTACGCTCATGGAGGTTTAGGATGATAATAATGTTGAGAGGTGAACGTGATGATGATTATGACGATGAGAAAGTCGGTATTACGTGATGGATAAAATAAAAGTCCAATTTAAATGTCTTTGTATACAGGACTTTTATTCGGAACATACATTACCATTAAATCTCTGAAATATGATTTTTATTTTTTTGCGTGTTTTGTCTTATGCACGTACAGCACGAGATAGCCGAACAATAATATAACATTACATAGTAACTAAATACCCGAAGTTTTACAATGGTTTGTTTCATAAAAAAAAAAAAAAAAATCACTATGTATAATAATAATATATATATGGTTAAGTTTGTAGCTTTACAATATATATTTTAATGGATATTAAAAGCGTACAGAATTACAATTTTTAAACCTTCTATTCAACAACATTTTTCATCCTACGTCTGCACTAAATATATATATATAAAAAAAAAATAACTGCTTAAAAATATTATTATTATTATTTTTTCATTTTACACATTATACTATAAACATAATAATAATGTTTTTTTTAGTAGGTGGTAAGCTATAGTTCAAATGACAAGTATACGATTTTTTTTTATTTATTCTTAAAGATAAGTTATGGTTGCCTTTGTGAAATCAACTAGAAAAAGCGTTTTGTCTACAATAAGATAAAAACGAATAGCGCGTATTATTATATCGTATAATCGTAATTACCGTATAGTCGTATATAGTATTAAAAACAAGAAAAAGAACAAAAATAGTAATACAAATTATACATATTCAGCCGAGAAACAAAATATAAACGAAATCAATAAGGCACAACTTACAGAAAAAAATGTAAAAAAAAAACAAACAATTGTCTAACTTATAATATCCAATACAATAATAATAAGCTATATAATATAATATGTATCTATTGAAAATGTGTACAATCTGTTGAAAACGCCGAACAAATAAATACGTATGTATATTTTATAATATATTATATAGACTACTATTTAGGACGACAATTTTATTTTTAAAAGTACCAGCTATTAGTGCTGAGAACGAGATTTTGGTTTTGTAATTTATCTTCCAATCCATGCCCTAGTTTAATTATACGCATAACACTTACACTTTATTGATAATATTTTTTTTTAACTCATAACAAAACTAAAAATGCAATAACTATTTAAATTTTTTTTTCGATTTTTTTCAATTTTTTACTCCAAACAAAATACTATACATTGAATTTTCTACAGGCAATTTGTTTAAAATGTATACACATATATAATGGCTCAGCCTCTAAGCATAATTGCACGTAAACCAGCCCGGATTACAATATGTAGAGACGCGGAAGATCAAAAGTTTTTAATTAAGATGATTTTTCAGTTAAGACTTTTGATCAGCCTTGTACTATATATATTATTATAATATATAACAAAACATTTATGAATATCTAATCCAACACTATGCATTGTCAACGATTTTTTTTTTTACTTACATAATATTTAATAGTCTAGGCCTATGGTAAATGAACACTCATTTTTATTATAATAATTATTATTACAAATTGGTTTCATTTTAAGTTTGGGGTGACATTTTTAATTTAGCGTTTAATTTTACCGATCTTTAATCTAAATTTTCAAAAAATTCGCATATATAAATAACTAATAAAACTATCAATAACAATAACAGCTATACATTTTTTAATTTTTAATAATGAGGTTTTTACGCATTCATTATGCGCAAAAATGTTTTTAATTAATTGATTTTTTTTTATACAGGGACATTGACGCAATGAGTGATTATTATTTAATTTTATTGTAAATACTTTAAAATATTTTAATAGTAAGTGTGTCGTTCGACCCATCCACCTGGATGAGTCCTGAGCCAAAAACGCCGACATTCGTCATAAACAAATATGACTACGGCGAAAGGTAAACCGGGAAGCCACCATTCGGCTTTTACGGGATAGGTCTTGAGCACCTCGGTCATACCAGGACAGTAAGACACAAAACAGGCAGCTAATGTTTCGAATACCATTCCAAAATTCAATACCCAATTGTCCATACCTTGGTGTAAAATGGAATTGTAACGAGTCTTGCAAATAATCAAATCGGCCCATTGCACTACTACAATAGCTATAAAGAAGGCAGTATGGCAGGTATATTCTAGCTCTTTTCTATGCGTAAATGTCCATTCTTGGCCATATGAGTCTTCCAGGTCGTTCACGGACTTCGAATCCCATTCGTTACGGATGCCAATTAATCTCCGTGGTAGCCATCCACATTGAGCCATAATGACGAAGTACGAGAAAAATCCAGCGACGGCTTCAATGACTCCGATTTGACCATAGGCGACGAAAATAAGTTTACCGTTTACCAATTTATCGGTCGATGGGTTCCTTGGATGTCTTAACATAATGTCGGATTCCGCTCTTTCGTAAGCCAATGATATGGCCGGCCACATGTCAGTTCCCAAATCAATGCAAAGTACGGCAACAACCCCGAGTGGCAACGGAATACCACTAAGGATAAATAGTAAGAACGGAGTTATCTCCGGGACGTTTGACGCCAAAGTGTACGCTATAGATTTTTTTAAGTTGTCGAAAATAAGACGTCCTTCTTCTACTCCAGTCACAATAGATGCAAAATTATCGTCCAATAATATCATGTCAGCAGTTTGTTTGGATACGTCTGAACCCGTTATGCCCATAGCGATACCAATATCTGCTTTTTTCAAAGCCGGTGAATCGTTAACACCGTCTCCAGTTACAGCCACGATAGCTCCCAAATTTTGACAGCCTTCAACAATGTTTAATTTTTGTGTAGGGGAAGTCCGGGCAAATACGATTTCTCTGTTTGTTCTTAAAACGTGTTCCAGTTCTTCGGTAGACATGTCCCTTAATAATGAACCTTGAATAACGATTGTTGTGGATTCCCGTGGATCTAAAGATGATACTGGTACTCGACGTCGTTTAGCAATATCTTCAAGAGTTTCAGAACCTTCAGTAATGATACCTACAGCCTTTGCAATAGCTTTAGCGGTTACAGGGTGATCACCGGTTACCATAATGACACGAATACCAGCTGATCGGCATTTTGCGACGGCATCTGGTACACCTGGTCTGGGAGGGTCAATCATAGACATAAGACCTAAGAACCTCAAATCGGTCAAAGGGAAATTAGGAGGATCCGTAGTAAATTCGAAGCCAATTGGAAATTGGTCAGTGCTAAGGAAAAGATCACAAAATCCGAGAACACGTTCACCGTAACTTCCTAGCTGTTCAATAATTTCGTCCATTTCTTGTCTGATATTTTCGTCCAATTCAACAACACCGTCACCATATCGCATTCTAGTACAACGAGCTAAAATTCTTTCTGGGGCCCCTTTCATTACTAACAACTGTCCTTTCGACGGTAATGCGTGAATTGAAACTTGGAATTTATCGGAGGAATTGAACGGAATCTCTGCAACCTTTTTATGTTGATCACGGAAAGCCATGACATCTCCTACTGCAAGTTCGGAAAATTTAATTATTGCGGCTTCGGATGCATCACCCATAACTTCTCTCTTTAAAACAGGTGTATTGTCTTGTCCACATATAAATTCAGCTCTACTGCAAAGGCATCCACCTCTAACGAGCGACTGATAAGCTTTGGTGTTCCTAGCCTCTTCCGTTACACCTGTCGGGTCTTTGAAGTAATCCACCTCAATAATTTCTTTGTTATAACTTAAATGTGTTACAGTCATACGGTTTTGAGTGAGCGTTCCTGTTTTGTCAGAGCAGATAGTAGATGTAGATCCAAGAGTTTCGACTGCTTCGAGATGTTTTACGACACAGTTTTTCGATGCCATCCGTTTCGCCGTCAAAGACAGACACACGGTTACGGTAGCGAGAAGACCTTCTGGTACGTTAGCGACAATTATTCCAATCAAGAAAATAAAAGCATCCAACCAATGGTATCCAAGTAAGAAAGCCATTATGAAAAATGACACTCCTAAGAAAATTGCCCAAGCAGAAATCAAATGCATGAAATGATGAATTTCATTAGCGATTGGTGTGTCTCTTTGTTCCAGTCTTGTAGTCAGTCCAGCAATACGTCCCATCACAGTATTATCACCACAAAGTATCACAAGAGCTTTTGCAGTTCCTTCGACTGCGTTAGTGGAAAAGAATGCCAAATTGTTAGCTTCCAACACTTGCACTTTAGATACAGCCGAGTCCCGGGGTTGTGGTTCAGTTTCTCCGGTCAAAGATGAATTATCCACCTTAAAATTATGGGCTTCGATAATACGAACATCGGCGGGAACGCGATCGCCGAACTTTACTTCTACAATGTCACCTCTTACCAGTTCTGAGCTCAGTATGTTCTTCCGTTCACCATCTCGCACAACATTGGCGTATTGTGGTACCATGTTCTTGAAGGAATCCATAATTCTCGAACTTTTTGCTTCTTGACTGTAAGCAAAAACACCTGTTATGACACAAACAAGGACTAATACTGTACCCAGCCATAGGTTGTCTTCCTGTGGTTCTTCAGATGTAGAATATTGAATACCATATGCTAGGAAACACAGGGCCGCACCTGTCCATAATAGGATTGAAAATCCTTCAAACAGGTGCTTCAACAGGATAATCCACGCAGGAGTCCTCTTAGGTGGGGTTAAAGAATTAGGTCCGTCCCTAAGCAATAACCTTTTAGCTTGGGAGGTCGTCAAACCTCTCTCTGGATCCGTCTCATAACGAGTATATAGCTCCGGTAACGGTATCCGGTGATCATCCAAGTCGATTTCTTTTTTGAGATCGCTCATTTTGGCGGTTTTGGCGTTACCGCTTTCCGCCTCTTTGGAACCCATTTTGGACAGAATATAAGGGACTTTTTGTTGTAAAAATACAATTAAAAACTGTTTACGGTTTTAAAAATATTTATAGGAATTCATGGTTATTATTATTATTAATATTATTTTTACAAAATATATAAATACACTAACTAATTGGAATAACGAATTTACGTCAACAACTTATAATACTACTTATAACGATCTTTTCATTTGATTACAAATAGGCGATTCTATCTCTATTCTGTGATCGAGAAAATCGATTATGGCTAAGAGGTTCATTTTTCAAAATATTAAATAATATCACAGACTTAGAATAAAGTGTGACTCCGATTTTCCGAAGTGTGTATGTGTGTGTGCTGTTGTTATTCTGGATCAGCGTGGATCAAGACGTCTTGTCCCGCATGATGATTTTCTGCCCAAAAAAAAAAAACAAAACAAAAAATAAAATAAAATAGCAATACATTATAGCTCATTGATTTGTAAATTAATTGATAAAAATTATATTATTGCTAAGATTGGAATGGTGTTGGAGTTTTTCCCCTAATTTATATTTAAATACCCTTGACGGCAATCCAGAAACGCGCTATACAAATACGATCATCGTGCCAAAATTATTTTCTACACTTTTTTTACCCAAAATTGTTTGATGATTGGATTCTATCACTAAAATATGTTTTAGGTAATAGCTACTTTAATAAAATGTATGTGATAATATAAAGTTTTAAATATTATGCTCGACACTTATATTTTATACATATCTAACTCAAATAAATGTAAAGCAGGTAAAATTAAATTAAATATGTCTGTTTCTGATATTATAATATATTTGATTAAACTGTTATAAATTTCAATTAACTTGAGATATAATGCAGTATAGAAGTAATTATGTTTCAATAAAACGACAAATTATGATTAATATGTTAGATTGATAATACTGAATTATTTTATTTCTCCATAACATAACTGTTTATATTATAAAAAAGTAAAATCATTTTGTGTAATGTTTAAATTCTCTTAGTTGCTTGTATAGAAATTAAAAATCTATATCAATATGTGTTATTAGTTACTATAGATAAAACCAACAATTATTTTGTTTATGAACTCTTTGAAGAAACATAAAAATTGTTAATTTTTTTTTTAATTTACAATTTTTTTTACACAAAAATAATTTATAATACTTCACATTCTTAGTAGTTTGAAACTAAAAAAAAAAATACTAGCAATTCAAATATATTTTGTTTTATTAAACATTTAAGATACATAATTATAAAAGGGCGTATAGAAACAAACAGAAATTGTTTTTTTTGTATAATTTCAATTAAAAAATCATTAAGAATCTATTATACTTATACACATATATTCTCATGGTATGTAATACTGAAATCAATTCAACACTAAGCATTTATAACTATAGAAATATTGAATTATATAATAAAGTTTATGTAATATTATAATTTATAACATATGGTAACTTTATATTATATGATGAAAATTAATTTTTTTCTCTAGTGACGATTACATTTTGTTGTTGGCATTCGTTCGTTTTAAAATGCATTTATAGCAATCAGTCATAAGATAAAACAAATTTTTCGATATTTAATTCGTATTTAAAATCAAAAGCTTCGATCAAATTATGAGTGTAAAATGTCTATGTTGGTTTGTATCAGTACCTATTAAATATTTATGATGTCTTAAGGCTTAAATGTTTTCATCTTTTCTGCAATATGGAATTGTTTATGTACAAATATAAAAACCATCAGAAACTTCCAAATTCTAAATTACAAATGAATTCAATTACGATGAATACTAAATTGGATTATGTAGTTTGATAAGCCCCGAGACATGACTTTACTACGAATGTAGTAACTGGAAGAGCTGTTTGGTGACCGAATGACCCTGACCTCGAGTTAACGAATTCGATTCATTCAAATCAAATTGTCTCAAGTGCGTGCTTTGCTATTTCTTTTTAGCCCCGAATGTCTGAACCGAAAAGTTCCGCCCGAATCGGTCTAATAAATAAAAACAAAGTCTAATAAAAGCTATTAACAGAAAATAATCCAACCGTTTGACTGGAAATATTACGTTAACCATATTTTAGGTTAAGACGAATAGTTGGCTCAGCCGCAGTGCGGACCCACACGCCACATTTACCCCCGCGCCTGCCCGCACGCAATTCCGTGCGTCCCTTCATCACCCACCCATGCGCCAAGCCCCCGTTCGCCGCCGCCGCGACCTATTTCGCCACCCGTTCCGCCACCAGCGCGCTCACCGTTCGATAACAGCACACCGTTTTCACACACACGTCAACTTTGACAATAATCGCCAAATATACAGAAGTGGAAAATAAAAAATGTCGACTTTAAGGTTACGTGAAAACAATTGGAAAAATAAAACATCGTTAGGTCGTTATGCGACGAAAATGGAAAATAAAAACAAAATAACGCATAAACACAAGTGTTACAATATGATCACTACGTCTATGTATTATTTTAGCATTACAGTTACACAACGGTGGTAGACGATAATTATATTTGGTTGTACGACGACGACGCTACTCACCAAGTTTGGTATCCAAATCACGCAAATGTTATAATCCTGGTGACCGCAGAGTCGCACTTATAAAATTTTCAAATTATTATATAATATCGACGACGGATTGAAAAAACACTTAACAAATCGCGAACAAACAAATTTAATAATTTTAACAAAAATTATAATAATAATAAAGAAGCCAGACCGGACGCGTATGTGCAGCAGTGGTAGGACGATCGGTGAGTTTCTTCGGGGAACGGGACGTGGGGGGGATAAGGCAGGCGGAGAGTTCGCCGAGGAGACACGCGACAGAAGGAATAAAACGGGAGAAAAAGGAAAAAGAAAAACCGTCTCTGGTGATGGTCTTAAAATAAAGACAGAAAAATCTGTCCGGTGCGTTAGAGCGGTTACAATAACGCGGGTCCCGCGGCTCACGGCGGCAGCAGCTGAACTCCTCTCAGGCGGCGTTTCGGGCCGGCGGCCGTGTCGTTGGCGGCGGCGGCGCGGGCTTGTAGCGTAAAGTTCTATTCTGGGACGCGCGTGCGCGGCCAGGAGGGTTTCGGCGTAACGGCGCGGCGGCGTAGTGGCGGCGGCGGTCCTATGGATCCGTCGGGCGTCCAGGCGCCAGGCGCGGTTGCCGTTCCGCACGCCCTCCTCACTCACCCACCGTAACCCGTTCGCCATCGTCCGTGTCGCCCCCTCGCCCCACACGAGCAGCACCCACACCCATCCATCCGCCCTACTACTCACCCACCCACCCACCCACCAATAAGCTCCCATCTCTCTCGCGCAGAGACCGCTGCGCGAAAAAACCATCTCACAGAGATATTTCACGCCGTTGCCATGTGTCTCGGAGGTGCCGGCCGCCGCCGCCGCCGCCGCCTCCACTGTTTCTGGTGGTGCACTCGCTGCGTATTCGTCGGTTATTACGTGATGTTTGCAGCAAACCATTATGTGGGACTAACGCATGGGACTAGGGCACTCAAAATGGTGGAGGTAGTGGTGGTGGTGGTTGTAGTGGTTGTGATGGTGGTGGCAGCAGACAGACCGACCTCGTTTTGTCATGTGTCGGCGGTGGTCGTTGGATTTGTCGTTAGAGTGTCCGTTGTTCGAGAGGCCCTCGTAGTGTTCTTTAATATAATCGCTGGGGTATATAGGAAAACCGATAAATGTTGTATAGGCGACACTACCGGACAGCGACGAGTATGTTAACCTAGGACAAGAAAAGACTCACTTAAAGTCAGGTTATTTGTTCGTGTGTTGTACGAAAATTTAGCTAATATATGCACAAAAAATTTAAGAAGTGTGTGAGTATTGCTATGGTCCCCTTAAGTACCTACTTCTGTGATCAAAAAAAGTTTGCAGCTTTCCTAAAAAAATTCAGAGCTGCCTGGATGGTGTGTACGAGAAAGGAGGAGCAGTATACGTTTGTGAAAATACGTCATCGAAACCGTACCCATTTCATTTACGACTATGACGCTCCTTAATATTATATAACATTCCGGTGGTCGTCTTATAAACTATGCAATGCAGTATGCGTTATAACGACTACCATATAGGTAATAATAAAATAATAGTATCACACACTGTAGTGTATTGTTTTGTTTCGACCATTTTATGTTGTATATAACATACCAGTTAGTCGTTATCACACCGAATCGCTTAAGCCAATATTTTTTTTTAATCATTATTTTTTCAATCTAGTCTTCATTTAGTCCTATCTTATTTACGGTCTTATATACTGTTCAAGCCGATTTCCACCATCGGCCGAGTTAAGAGTAAAATATTATAATATATAATATTTGAAGACGGTTGTTTACAAATCGCGATATACTAATATTATATAGTAATACGTAATAATTACCCATACCTTTTACCCTACACCGGCTATAATACCCATTAACTAGAATTTACATTGAATTATTTAAAAAAATAAGTGAACCAGACTTTTGATGACAATCGCACATATTGTGAACGATTCATTAGCCTTTTAACAATTAAATTGAATGTTATAAAATATTAATGTTACTATAATAGGTGTATTACCTGGCGTTGCCCAGGGATAAATGAAACCGAATTGTGCATCGGCTGTGGTGTATGGTAATAATTAATAAGTAACTTTTTTATTTATGTGCAAGCAAAAAAAAATGACTACGCGGTTATGATTTTAATATTATTAATAGAGAGTAAGGCACAATAAAGTAACAGGTTCAATCTATTACTTAAATCTTCCTTGGATCGCCCAAACCGATCGAGTATTTTTTGATTCTAAGACCTCGGCCATACCCTTTGCCTTTTATTTATTATAGCTGCTTCTGCCCGTGGCTTCTAGTCTAATACTCTAACGACCCACCCTGGATCACAGGTAATGTATGTGCAAAATAATGCATCAATTTTCATATGCATTGTTTAGATATAACCTGGCTTATACTATCTATATTAGTCGACCATCTATTATTATTTATCGTTTCCTGGTTGCTTCAGTTGAAATACTCTCAATTATTTTTTCTTTCAAAATCGGGCGAGTGTTTTTTAGTACATGGACCTAACAAGTGTACAGTTGGCTATAATCTAGAATAGTAGCTGTTAATTTATTTTGCATTTATAGAATGGCTTCATTAGCCTAAAAGACAAAATGAAATGCAATAAAAAGAATTATATTTAATCGTAATTACTGTTTCTGTAAATAATAGATAAATAAAAAATATATTTGATTTTCGTGAGCCGAAAAAAAAAATACACATGTGAGCCCATCTTTAAAATGTGAATTGTTAAAAATCTTTTCTTAATACATCATTCGCCTTTAATTGTGGTAAAGGCTGTATGTTTATTAGTCAGGCAGGACATCTTGTTTTATACATTATAGTATACACAGTTATTTTACTATTTACTATACGGTCTGTTAATTTTCAAATAAAACCTGAAAATATTTTTTTATAGGACCATTTCCATTCGTTTAACCTAAATAAAATAATAATAACTGCAGTAAAAACTGCAAATTATAATAGTATTGTCGACGCATAATAATATGGACACTATACGTGTCGTACGCACGACGCGGACGCTGTTAAATTGCATACACTAGGTGCCGTATTAAACGATATCGCCGTCTCGTTCGTGTTACAATAAAAAAATAATAATAATGTGTAATTTCGAGTTATTTATAATAATGTAGTATACTTATGCGTATTACGTGTTTTGATACTCAACCAAAAAACTAAACAGTATAGTCATGATTATAACGAACCTATAGTTTTTATTTAAACAAAACCTGACGCACACTCGTTCGCACTTTGTAAGTACACAAAACTTACCTAGTTGTATACGTATATTAAATGCAGCTTATAATTATATTAAATGTTTAAATCACTCAAATCAGATCATAGTAACACGAAAACGTTTCGTTTGTCGATCGATTTAAAACCAATTATTATACAGTAACACAACTGATTCTATTCGACTAAAAATCACGCCTATTTAATATAAAAATAATAATAAAATTACGGTAATTTTCGAACGTCCTTTGTGTTTCGTGTTTACCGTTTCGCACAGCACGCGAATGACATAACGACGGTCGTTCGCGGTTTTTAATTTGTTCCTAGTGGAAAATGGAAATTAAAACTATGACAGATTACAATCCCTAAAGGTTTCGATTAAAATTTAAAAATACACCACTTACGCGTACCCTATTATATCGATGGACCCATAAATGCAAGTCAGTGTTTTATCGCTCAATTTTTTCGCAGTTTATTTAATTCCATATTTATCTATTAATTACATAATTATTTCTAATAAATGAACATTTGAGTTATATTACGTGAAAAATATTATGTACAAGTATAATAATTTACGTTATACCCACATACAATTTTTTATTTTTTATTTATTAGTATACCCTATAATTAAAAAATATTTAACTTACGTATAAAAATAAACTATTAAGGCATAGATAATATACATTATTAACATACAAAACTAAGTATATCACTAAACAGTAAAGGATAAAACTATTATATTATATTTCTTATATTAAGTACCTACAATTTATTTTAAAACGGATCAAAGAGGAGAGGAAGTGTGAGAATAATTGATGATGATGGTAACTGCAATTGAATTATGAAAGAATTTGAAGAGTCACAAATCACAATGCATGGCTTTCATCCTTAAGTGTGATAAGATATTGAAATAATTTTAACGTTGTTTGCGAAGCCTATGCATATATAATAATATATGCATACTATCCCTACTATATATATATATATATTAAATTAATAAAACGTGAACTGTTTTATTTTTCTTCGAGCCGACCAGATCAGGGGACAATATTCAAGATTAGGGCGAAATAGAGAACAATGTATTTATTTTAACAGCGCACTCATAGACGTCGTTTTGTGTGTGCGTAGAGACACGAATGCATTTTCTACCGACAGGATCGATACGACAATATTGTACATAATATTGTTTTCACCGATATGGTCACGGCTTGTAATCGAGGACGGTTGTAAAATAAACAGTCGGCATGCGATACGACACCATTATGATATGTTTGCCGTGCTATCGTAAATCGAAGGTTTCGGTAGGAAGGTATAATAAAATACAAATATGTGTGTGTGTGTGTGTGTGTGTGTGTGTGTGTGTGTGTGTGTGTTTGTCGATGTCAGAATAGAACCCACGAACTGGAGAAGAATAATATACGCTGTCGGTGGCAAACGTGTTTGGATCACCGACGACGACGCCACCGCAAGTTTCTCTATATTTGTTTTAGTATATACAAATACATAATGCATATTTATTATGCAGACGAAGTTAAATTAAACCACCCAGAACAAACATGCTGCGAGACTTGCGTCGCACACGTAACCCGTGCATTACAATGTGCCGAGAGAAAAGTGTTGAAAATTAAAAAACTACCTATACCTAAATGTTATACAACAAACGTATATATTATGGAACGTACAATAGTAATAATGGCGTTGTAATGAATTCTAAAAAAATATTTGCTCCTAGGAAACACATTAGGTTCGTGTCACTCGTTTTTCTTTTTTTTTGGTACATTCCTGGAAAGTCTGCAGGAGAAGCCTTAGGACAGCCTACGAATGTTTTGCCAAACAAAGACCTGTTTTTTTCCCGCATCCCGCATAATAATATTATATATTATAATATAGTCGCACCGTTTGTGGCGAAATGTACATCACGATGTGTATATGGTACAAGACACATTTCATAAGAACAAAACATGTACAAACGTATTAAGTAAATTGGCTTTAATGGATTTTATACACTGAAATGTCCACCATTAATAATCGTATTTTAGATACGTATATTCGTTGCAATACGAAATTTTAATGCATCTCGGTTGTCACGTAGCAGGCGAACATGTGATTTGATTTTCAGATGAGCCTTAGTGTCATTATAGATAAAACTTAAACTTTATAACAGCCCACGGGTATTTTACTGGTATCATAACTTTTGG